CTGAGAATGCTACAAACAGCCTACGATTTATGGCTGCTATGACCCTTCAGGGGCATGTGACCAAGTCACCTGGTACTGGACTCCATCTTGGAATACCAGTGTTTTTCCACTGACTGGACGTGGGAACCAAGCATGGAGACAAAGGGTTCCCGCCATATGCAAAAGCTATTTAAGGCAGGGGAGTGACATCATCATGGTTCTTTACTGATTCCCCGCCCAAAGAGGCTCCTGAGAACACCTGAGGAAGGAGGGCTGAACTGGGGGAAAGGGCTGAGCCAAGGGTAGAAGAATTTCTAGCCTGTGAAATGAATACCTGGGGTTTTAAGCTGCAAGCAAGTGCAGCTTTCCCTTTAAGAAGCTCTGCAACTGGCTTAAATCATCATTTAGGGTGAGAATTTGCTACTCATACCTAATCTCTTTAGTATATTAAGCTTAGATTGTGTTTTTGTTTATTTGTGAGGTAATCTGCTTTGATCCGTTTGCTATCTCGTATAATCACTTAAAATCTATCTTTTGTAGTTAATAAACTTGTTTTTGTTTTGTCTAAAACCAATGTGTGGAAATCATACTTGGGGCAGAAAGCTGTTGCATATCTCTCTCCACGTTAAGGGAGAGGGTGAATTATATGAGCTTACGCTGTACAGTTCTCTGTGTAGTGCAAAACGGTATAATTTTGGGTTTACTCTCCAGAAAGGAGAAAGCTGAGAAGTTGGTAAGTGCCCTAACTGTATTGTCTTCCCATGCAGGGGCTGCTCAGAAAGCCTTCTGTATGTTATTACAGCTGTGTGCTGGTGAAAGTGTGAGACTGGGAGCATGTCTGCAGCTTGTCACAGCATTACAGGGTGAGTGGGAGTCCAGGCTGGTGGGTTGGGGGGCTCAGTGGTACCCCAGTTCCAGATGGCACCCTGGGGGGAACCCAACACAACCACATGATATTCCAGATCAACCTTATTTTAGGTTTGGAACAGATCTCTGAATTAAAAAGAATGATTATCTATTATGGTGTATTCTGCTCAGATGTCACTTTGCTCAGTTTTCTGTGATTTCTGAAGAGTTAATAACAAATAATAGCTCACAAGTGATTCATTTTGGCAATCATTTTTGACATATCATTTCAAGCACACTATTTCAAGCCCTTACTATGCACTGTCCAATAGCCTATTAAAAAAGTATGTTCAAGTAGCAAATAATTAGATTTTAAAAAAAGAAAGAAAGCACCCCAATGGGTTCGAGGGCTCAATACTTAGTATTAGAATTGAAGTTGGGTGGGACATTCAAAATATAAAAATTTTGACACTTAAAAAAATTTAACTTTTCATGGACATCTTTCCCCATTTTTGTTAGGAAGTAGAAACACCCCTCAGAATACTTAGGAGCACTAGTTCAGAGACGTATAAGCAGGACAAAAACTTTAGTATTAACATCTCACAATTTTCTTGAGCTGAAGACAATCTTGATAGTTACAAAAGAAACGTGTATTTCAGGGAACTAGAACAGAAGAAGTACTACAAGTAGGGCACAGAGCTACCCACAATGCAAGTGGGAGAGGATGTTAGACTTGAAACAGACAGGTGGATGGCAACCTGCCAAAGCAGCAGGTATGCCATCTGCAACAAGGTTGTATGTCACAACCATCTCTGAAAGTAACTTCCACAGAAGACAGCTGTACGAAACCAAGGAGGACACTGACTATTTCCTGAGGACATCCAATATACTATTGATAGTGCTTATGCCCTTTCTGAAGTCACTGAAAATGGAGAAACACCAGGTGCAGCAGCAAACACAGCATCCAAGGGATCAGATACACTGCAGTGACCAGTCCACTGCAGAAGAAATTGTCTTGAGAAAAAGAAAAGGCCATGTGACCAGAAAGCCATTGAGCATCAGAGACAGCAATTTCTGACAGTTGTCCAATACCCTGCCTTCTTTCTTCTACACTTTTCTATTTGTGTATGCTATTAATTGGTTACATTGGTTTCTGGGGCATGTCTTACCTGCATCTGATTTTCAAAAAGAAGACGAAAGAGGGAGGGGATGTAACAGTAGCCCCTGGAGTGCGTAGACACTGACACCCGTCATGTGACCCATATCATGTGACTGGGACCAGTATATAGAAACATGTCTTACCAGCACTCCTCCATGTCCTACCTTTATTACAGATAGCATCTTTGTTATTTATTGGTCTGTATAATGTAAATGCACACTGGCTTGTCCCAGCATGATAAAGGAAGAGGGGTCCTTCTAACATCTCTGTTCTAATAATCTTCTTCCAGAGAGAAAGAATAGGGCAAAAGCTTTAGAAAAATTTATTGTCTAGCATGCAGTGTGTAATTTCCATAATTTATCACAAAAAAATCTGCCATATTGGCATGTTTGATTTAATGCCATCAAAAGTGTAAGGTTACATGGAATAGATGGCTAATTGGGTTAATTTAATAGCAGGTTAAATCTTTCTTTTATTTTGTGTTAGAGGAACTTTAAAAATAGTGCAGTTTTCAAGTGCTCTTGGAAGCGTAAAGTAGAGTTTCTTGATTAAAAAAAAATATATAGCATTCCTACTGCTAGGTTTATGGTGGGAGTTACTGGCACTCATCCAGTTCACTGCATGAAACTCTAAGCTGTCTGGATAAGTGCAGAATGTAGCATTGGGTCTTAAGGTTTTGTCTGGCTCATTGCCAAAGATGTTATGTATTTAGCTGAGAAATTGCCTAGAAGTTAATTGAGAGGAAAACACTAATATATATCCTCCCCACCTTAAAAATGCTATGGATATGGATATGTCACTGATCTTGATATGAGCTGTATGTTTTCAGTATTCCTAAAATTGGCTAGATCGAGTTTTCAGGGTCTACATGCACCCTAGTCACTACTAATATCATTTCTCTCTTTCATGTCTTTGTAATCTCCCTAGTCACTGTGTCCTTAGAAATATCCAGCAGCCAGGGCTATGATGTCACTACAGTGGGCAGAGCTAAGGCTCAGCATTAGACAAACAATTTTGTGGGACTTCCACAGACAAGGTTACATTAATTTTACCCTCGAAGTCTTACCTCTCTCCTTAATGCAACCAAACAGCTTATGGAATGACCCCTTTGCCCACCATAGCCACGGCCTAGAAAACCCTAGAAGTTCTGATTACAGTGTATGTCTTTACTCAAATCCTCGGCTGTTATTGCATTTTAAATGATTCAAAATAGCAAAATGAGTTTTGCATCTAGTGAAACTGACCCCACATAACCCCACTATGCTGTATAACCTAATACGGTACGTTGTGAATTTAATATGCCCCTAACAGTTCACACAGTGTACCAGACGTCTAGGCTTTAGCAACTCCATGTTTGCTAGAAAGCGAGTGTATTTAATCTTGGTAAATCAAACAGTGTTCCTAAACAGTTTTGAGCCAGCCTACAGCAGTGAAGCTTTAGTACTTAATGATCAAGCCACATCTGTAAGAAGGAGTCTGATCATTTTGTACAATACCTATTGCTTCCTCTCAGGATAAGGAGATGGGAGGGGAGGGGAAAGAGATACAAGAAACAAAACTGGGGCTTATATAAAAGGAAATAAGAAAAACTGTTATCTTTCAATCCTGACTGACTGTCTCTTCCATGTTTACTGTATGCCCTTGATGCACTGAGGTTGAAGAGACTTGAGCAAAGCGGAAACAATGATATTTTGCTACTGTATGAATTCCCTCTCCCTGCACTTAATCCTGTTCTTATTGGGGCCTTGTGCTGAAAGCTAATAATTTTGGTGTGCCCTGAATAAAGCCAGTAGCTTGAATTCCTGCCACCAGCCCCTTTATAATGAATAGGCCTAATGAATGCTAGTAAGTGGTAGGAATCTGTGACCAGCTGCATCAATGCAGGTAATACAGCTCAGATTTAATTGGGTGCAGGTATTGGAAGGCTGTATTACTTTAATTGGTGAGGGGGTTTTCTAAATGGAAAGGACAAAGTATAATGGACAAATTGTGCTGTACAATAGCACTTAAGCTGGGATTGTATGCATTCGTTAATCTGTTGAGGAATGAGGCAATTCTAAACAATTTTCTCAGTGAAACCAACTCCAGAAAGCTTGTCCCTTTTGTTCTCCCTTGGGAAAATGCAAGATTGAAACAGAAAATACCTTTACCGAGGCAATCATTTGCCACGTGTGGAAAGCGGATACAGCTGTAAACTATGAAAAAGGGATCTTTGTAGTACCATAAAGGATGGAAAAGGAGATAAAGCTGTGGATAAGAGTGGGCCTGTCACTGCATCCAAAGGAGGAATAAAGTGATGACATTTACAGTGACAGATGAGACTGTAAAAAGAACTCAGGACAATTTAGAGAGGGAAATTTGATATTTAAAAGAAAGGGCTCTGATAATTAAAAGTAGCATTACATTAAACTGTTATGCATGTCATTAGTGACAGAAGGGAACTGGTGCCTTTTGAAAAGTTAATGATTCAAACAGACCTGCTCCTGAAACTTTGTATTTAGTAAAGTTCACTTGAGCACAAACTACTTTATGCAACACAGGATTCATTTACTCCTTATTTTATAATAGGAAATAACATTTTACAATAATGTGGAATATGCACTTTATATATCATAAGCCAATTTGTGTACTGTTTAGGTGTGTATATGTCTGTAATGGCAATACTGTGTACATTAAAAGTAGAGCTGAATATCCCAACATATGTAAATATTGTTGAAAATGCTCATTCCATTGAATGTTCGGGAAAGAGTAAGTCATTTCATTGGGGCACAAGCTGCCCCTGTCAATTGCTTTTTCTAGTTCATATAGGGCTAGGGTTATTCAACGTAGGGACAACAGAATGTAGCTTAGAAAGTAAAGTACTTGCAGGTTTGTGGTGCACTTAATAATGTGCAGTACAGAACATGCAACCACATTTTATGACTGATACACCCATAACGGGTTAAGAAAGCAATTGTAACTGAGTTCTACTAATAGGGCTTTTGCTCTTGTATATTTCATTACAGGTGGGAAAACTAGAAGGATTGTATGTCCTTCAGAGTTCATGTAGGCCTGGCAGTGGGAGGAGAGAAACAAAATGAAGCATAAAGCAAGGGTTGAATGGGCTTTCCCAGGATCCCCAGGTGGGTTTCGTGTATTGCCTAATGTTGAAAATGAGACAGATACAGCTTTCTACATGGGTTGTAAAGGCTGAATTATCTTACGTTTACTATTGTTCATGGCAAAAGTAAATGCACAAAGCTACAGCTTATTTCTGAAAGTCTTTGTCAGGAGACCTATTTTGTTTGTTCTACATTTTCTCTTTTTTTACAGATAAGTCCAGAATTTAGTCTCAAGCTTACAAAATATTTGCAAATCATAAGGTAAACTCTCAGTTTTTTTTAAAAAAGTACAGCAGTAGCATTATTAAATTCCAAAAGGGAAAATGAAATGAATACTTCTAATTTCTCTGGAGATCGACTTTAAAAAAATCTTCACTGAAGCTTTCAGTTGGCACTCAGTGAATTGTAGCAAAGTTTTGCCTGACTGTGCAGGAGGTACATAATAAAATATGTAACCTAAAGTCTGTGCCAGCAAACAAAACATGGCACTCAAGGAATAACTAGCTGATGGGCAATTGTTTCATTATTTTTTTAAAGGATATGATGCAGCTAGGCACAGAAGAGTGCAACGGGTGGTCATAAGATTTAAAAATAAAACTGCTGATTTATTTTTTAATTTTTACAGAAGTGGATATGTACAATCTACTTTGAAATCCTAAATCTGGAGAACTGCTAGTCATTATTAAAAACACTAAGACTAGCTTTATGAAATACGTCCGTTTTATTTTTATGGACAAAATAAAGGAATTTAATGTCACTTTGTCTTCAAATTCTGTTTTGTAGAGTGTCATCCATATTAGTATACACATTACAGAGACATCATAAAAGGACCCAGGGGGAATATACAACTCAGAGGATGAGGAGCTACTGGGGATTAAGTGAGTTTCTTTTAAAAATAGTTGAGTTCCTGAACTTACCTAAAAATAACCTGGCGCAAAACAACGGGTCTATAATCAGCACTGGCAAAGCTTGTTGCAGGAATGTTTACAGTGTAAGGTCAGATGCCACACTACTACTGTTAGGTGTTGCTATGGAAGATGAGACTTCAGGATCTAAATGGAGAATTAAGTACTGTAGAAAATATCTATTGTTTGACTGTAATATCTGAGCACCTCCCATCCATCTACCTGTCTATCTATAGCTGTAAAATATAATAACAATCTCTTCTTTTACAGCCTATAAAGAAAACAGCTTCACTTTACTGGAATTTGGGTTTTCTTTGTGTCAATGTGTGTGTTAGACAGAAAAACTTATTGAGAGAAAGGCAATCAGATGGGACCATGAAGGGGCCTATAGGACCCAAAATAGAATGCTATGTCAAAGAAACCAGCTTTGCATTTCTGAAAACTGTGACATAACTGTAGACATTCTTGTATCTGTTTCTGCTATTACTTCTGACTCTTATATTCATAACAGATCACTTTGTGTACTCTGTGTGAGCTTTTATATTTAAAAATACAATTTTAGTCAATTTAGTGTGTGTGTAAAAAGTCACAGATTTGCAGCTCTGGAGACTGAAGTCCTTTATAGAACAACATGGGTGCTTACAGTGCATGCTTCATATGCCTCCAAGCAAATGTGCCTTAACCTTAACAAGCCAATTCTATAAACTCCTTCAGTCTTTGGCTTCTGTGCAGATGTTGCTAATAAGTTCTAATAGTGAAGGCGGGGAAGCAGAGCAAGCAGACTCTAAGAACGAGAACGAAGACTACCAACTCATTTTACCTAGGTCCTTAAATAGCTATCAATGGTAATGACAACTGGTCATTATTAATCTGGATTGGATTTAAGTTGATGGGCCAACACTGAATGGCTCAGTATCCTATTACCAATTCCCCGAGCGTATGTCTACACTGGAGCGGGAAGGTGTTATTTCCAGCTCAGGAAGACATAACCACACTAGCTGTGATTGAGCTAGTGTGCTAAAAATAGAAGTGTTGCCACAGCTACCTCGGACAGGATTATACACAGGGAAGCTAGCCCCCTGTGCTTTTAGGTGCTAGCTCCATTGCCCGCCTTCACTATTAGAACTTATTAGCAACATCTGCACAGAAGCCAAAGACTGAAGGAGTTTATAGAATTGGCTTGTTAAGGTTAAGGCACATTTGCTTGGTGGCATCTCCTCAAACAGGAACTTACACCTTATAGCTCCAGTGTAGACAGAGCCTAAAATACAGGCTTGTCTGTGGACACTGGACCTCAGTGGAACACTTCCTGGTGGCCTTGATGTAGTGTAGCTTATAGTCTGCACTATGGAAACGTTTCAGAACCCCTGCTCTAAACCATCCAGTCTACTACACATATCACTTACAAATGTATTCTATATCTGTATTTTTTTTGTCACTGCTTCTGGAATAGTGCATTTTAAACCTGCTTCTTCTGACAGCTGCTCTTTAAGAATAAGGATGTGGCTGGCCTTCAAGAGGTGCATAAGGGAACGTGAGCAAATGGCTTCTAGACTGTGATCTGTGGGCCTGTGTATCAGCCAGCCACATTTGTAGTTCCTATACTTGGGGGAACACTGTATGCCAGTGGTTCTCAACTGTGGTCCACGGCTTGTTTAGGGAAAGCCCCTGGTGGGCCGGGCCGGTTTGTTTACCTGCCGCGTCCGCAGGTTCGGCCGATCATGACTCCCACTGGCCGCCGTTCGTCGCTCCAGGCCAAGGGGGGCTGCGGGAAGCGGCGCAGGCCGAGGTATATGCTGGCCACCCTGATACTAAAAGGAGAGAGTAAAAGTGGGGAAGACATGAGGATTCACAGAAGAACCATGAGAATGATTAAAGGATTAGAAAATATGCCTCATAATGATAGACTCAGGGAGCTCAATTTATTTAGTTTAACAAAGAGAAGGTTAAGGGGAGATTTGATCACAGTCTGTAAGTACCAACAAGGGAACAAATATTTGATAATGGACTCTTCAATCTAGCTGGCTGGAAGTTGAAGCTAGACAAATTCAGAGTGGAAATAAGGTGCAATTTTTAAAGAATGAGGGTAATTACCACTGCAACAACTTATCAAGAGTTGTGGTGGATTCCCCTTCACTTCACTAAACTGAGATAGGATGTCCTGGGGTGCTTTGATTTTTCTCACCTCTGTTTTCCTGATACAGTTAAACTTTTATGTTGAGAGTCAATTGTCATATTAAGTCTCTTAGAGTAAAAGTTGCCATCTTTGCCAAATTCTCTGAGGCCGGTTGTCAGCACATGCAACATGAAGAAATAAAAGTCTCTTATGAGACCATAACATGCACTGTAACAGATAAAACTATTCTGTACCTGCTGTTAGAAATATAGAAAACTTACCTGAAAAGTCCACTCTACAGCTATATAATCTTACATGTTTCACTTGAGTTATTGGGATAACTGATGATTTTGGAGGGCAGAACAAAGCTTTTGTTGTTTACTTCCTAAATAAAACTGACTTACACTGGGCAGTTCCTCAGCTAGTAAAAATCAGTGTAACTCTATTGACTTCCATGGAGCTCTGCTGATGTACCCGAGCCAAGGATCTGGTCTAGTGGGAACACATAAGTCCTCTGGAAGACTGTGTAGGAAAAAAGGAATGAGAGTCTGAGGAGCAAACTGTTGGACAGATGCATTGTCTAATGGGTTAAAATCAAACCAAGCCAGAGTTAAAATCCAGAAGTTTTCTCTGTGTCACAGATCTTGGAGATTTTGCACCAGAAAAGTACAAAGATGAGCAATTATTCTGCCTCTAGATTTACAGGATTTAAGCAAAGACAGGCCAAACTTCTCAGCTATTGCAGATTAGCACATAATTCCTGTCTTGCCATGTTTTCTTGAATGTGACAGAGATGGCCCTCTGCAACTCATTCCTGATGATCTCTTTCTTGATTCTTTCATTCCTCCAAAATAAAATACAATACAAAACGTACTTGGCTACCCTGAGTAGATTTGGAGAGAGTGTACCTTTGGGATCTCAGAAATGAGTTTTCACTGCCTGTGCAGATTTGTTGAGATCATTCAACTAAATCTTGGAAAAGTATGTACACTTTTCAAAGGAGCTTATATATCACACAACAAGAGCAATGCAAAGGAGAATTCATCCCAGAGTAAACACCTTCAGCTAGTCAAGTTAGACAATGAAGCATAAGTAATTGAAAAAAGAAGAGAAACTTGATTTTTCTTTAACTAAAGTTGGTGTTAATTGGGACTAATTCCAGTGAAGTCAATGGAGTGACACTGTATAAACCTGGTGATTCTACTGTCACTCACAAGCTTTTTAGTGAGAAGAATTTTGCCCAGTTATAACACCAGTTATAACTTGAATTGAAAAGCACCTGTCTGTACAAGTATTCCCACTGGTTGTTTTTTAGTTTCAAAAGCATGATTTACAGTATGTGACAAATGAGAAAGAGGCGTGAAATAAGCCTGAGTACTATGCATTGCACCTAGGCAATTTAGACAGGTAGGAGGATTAGTTTATATGAATGGATTCTTATTCAGAAGTTGCCTAATTTATTGTGACCTGTTTGGTGGGAAAGACAGCAAAGGGATCTCATAATAACAGACTTTCTGATGAGATTTCCAGTACTTCCTGGGTTTAATTTTAATACTTTTCTCTCACATTTTCACCTCTAGTCTTGGATTAAACCTCAGCATGCAAACAATAATAAAAAATAGTAAAGAACAGACTTCAGTGTTTGTGTGCGTGTGTGTGTGTGTGAGAGAGAGAGAGGCCTCTTTCCTGCACATAGAGGGAATCCCAGACACTAACTAAGGAAACTATGTACACATACCTGAATGTGATATAGGAGCCACTTGACAATTGGGAAGTGGAACACTACCTGAAAGACCCCAAAACAAAGAAATGCATGTTGGAAACTTCTGAAACCCAAGAATATTTTGATTATACAACATGTCCCTGAACCAGCAACCATCACCATATAAATGTTATGAATATTGAAAATACTACCAGCAGTGCTTCCAGTGACATTATAGACAAGAATTCTATTTTGTTGGTTTAAAAAAAAAAAACAGAAACCTAAGGGCTTGCCTGCA